GAGAGAGAGAGAGAGTGAAATATCTATTTTTCTTCTATATAGAGCCTTAGAGTCGGAATGTAGCGTGCGTGTGCACCACACACAAAGCCGATCGTCTATCGGAAGTCTAGGCGTGCGTGATAGATAATCGTTATGTAAGACGAGGCTCGAAGGCTGTTGGCCGTCAGACTCTGACGTGCAACGAACGTCGCATGAAACTGGGGAACGCCCTGACTCTCGAGAAGCCCGCGAGCCACTTGGCGAACTTCTTTTTGTATTTATGATCCAGATAAAGAAAGTTTACGATTCAGATAGGATCGGCGATGTCGGCGGGGCCGAAGTGGTAACCTGAAGCTGCGAAACAGAGGAGAGAAGCGTTTGCATGCCGGAGGCGCAATACTATGCCTTTCTTGTTGCCATTTCTGCGCGTAATAATAGAGCGAGCGCCCTCTTCGTAGCCGCTTGTACACGACCGTCGTCGTCCAGGTGCGTAATTATTTTGGAATGACACGTGATTCGTTCGAACTTTAGTAAGGGAAGTTTTCTTAAGTGGTTTTTAAAAGTGATTGCTATAGTGGATTTTCGTAATTAGGTCTTTATCGACTGTATTTTTCTTTTTAGGTTAGTGTACGTGCAACTCGTTCGAGTTTTGATATGAGACTTTTCTTAACTGATTTTAAGATAATAATTGCTAATTTTTTTACATCTATTTAATGATAGTGTTTTCTTTTTTTGGAATAGCATAATTGATTTTATATTTTTTTTTTTTATGATTGTTTAAAATAGGATTTTATCGATTTTCAATATTTGAAAGTTTGAATAGATTTAGGTTAATTTTGAAGTAGCTATAGAATTGAGATATTCACTAAAATATTTTTTCTGCGCTGTATTTGTGAATATTAAATGTAGGTTTGGATTAAGCTAAATTTCCAAGATATGCGTAAAAAATATTCTATGTATATTGTATATTGTATTTGTGAATATTGAATGTAGTTTGGAATAGATTTGTGAAAAATTTAGGTTAGATTTGAATTAAACTTGGATTGTGTTCGAGTTATCGCGAAATATGAAAAAAAAAAAAATAATATATTCATGTTATTTAATTTCTTTTTCTCTTTTATATCATTTTGTTATTTGTAATTTAGTTAATACTATATCCATATATTCAAATTTCATAAAATATCATCAGCATCATTGTATAAAATTTGTATTTCAGAGAAAATTGTCCCAATGATATCACATGTCATAAAATCATTAAGTCAATTTAACTTTCGAATTGTGGCGTACTTTACGCTTGTTGCCAAAACATATTTAATTTATCATTACAAACTATAATAAAGTCTCCCATGTCTTTGTATATTCAGTCTTCGTGTTGTTTGACCGGATTCCAAGGGTATTTTTATCCTAGAAACTCGTTTACTATTAGATCTAAAAAATGGAAAAAGAAAAAAAAAATAAAAACAAAAGAATTACGAAAGAACCGATAAACGGATAATCTAATTAATAACTTAAGAGTGAATATAATAGGTTAGAAATAATATCTCTGATCTGTTGATAATAACTAGTTTATCTAAGTAAAATTAGATTCCATAATTATGTAAATATGATAACTATGTTACATAAATGTTTCAACAGTATTGCAAAATATGCAGATGGTCGAATATAAGAGATATAAAAGAAAATTCGTATTAGATTTTTCAAATATAAATGAAGCTAAATTATAGATTAAGATTATGCTATAAATATAAATTATTTGAATCTATGATAAATTGTTATATAACGTTTTGCTTGAATAATATCATAAATTTTATTTGATAATTATGCAAAATTCTTGTCTTTTACTTAAACTTTATAAATAAGACATTAAATAATTCTTGTAAAAAAATTCAAATATTCTAAAATGAATAATGAATTTTAAATATTCTTAACTATGTGAAAATATAATAATATTAGAAATTATAAATTGATTTAAAATGGACCAAATATCAAGCGATATAAAGCTATAAATATCAAATTATATTTTCCTTTTTTTTCTTTTGCATAGTAATAAATAATTCATAAATTTCTTGCGTCTTTAATTTAATTTTTATTATTTCGATCGATTCGTTTATTTACCTTTTAACTTAGAAACTTCTTGAATCACAAGTGCAACGAAAGGTAATGCAATCCATAGAATCATATTACGAGTTATCTAATTCGTTGGTTTCTTTCCTTTCCTCGTTTTATCTTTTTCATTCT